CACGCCAGCGAGGGCCACACGACGGCGGGGGTGGGCAGCCTCCTGGATGACCAGCACTGGCACTCGCTGCACATCGAGCGCTACGGCCGCCACGTCAACCTGACACTGGACGGGGAGGTCAAGCGCTTCCGCTGCCACGGCACCTTCGACCAGCTCGACCTCGACACCGAGGTGGGTGCGGCGGGCGGGGAGCTGCCGGGGTGCCGACCCGCGGTGTCCCCTGGTGAGGGGCTGACCCCCTCCCTCTGCCTCCCAGCTCTTCTTCGCTGCACATCGAGCGCTACGGCCGCCACGTCAACCTGACACTGGACGGGGAGGTCAAGCGCTTCCGCTGCCACGGCACCTTCGACCAGCTCGACCTCGACACCGAGGTGGGTGCGGCGGGCGGGGAGCTGCCGGGGTGCCGACCCGCGGTGTCCCCTGGTGAGGGGCTGACCCCCTCCCTCTGCCTCCCAGCTCTTCTTCGGGGGGGTGATCGACCAGGACAAGCAGCACCTCACCTACCGGCAAAACTTCCGGGGCTGCGTGGAGAACATCATCTTCAACGGGGTCAACATCGCCGACCTGGCCCGGCACCGGAGGCCCAACATCCGTTTCGAGGTCCAGCCCTGGGGGTGGCCCCTTCCCCGTGGGTCCCGTCCCTGCCATGGGGGGACCCTTTTCCTGGAGGAGGGCCAGGTCCTCAGCCCCGCTGTGGGGTGGCCCCTTCCCCGGGTCCAGCTCCCCCCCTCGCTGTGGGGTGATGTGAGGCCGGGCAGCGGCTGTGCTCAGCCGAGCGGCGCCGCATCGACCGCGTGAGGTCGTCCCTGGCCCGGGGCGCCTGCCCGGCGCTGCCAAGCGATGGGATTGAGCGGGGGCGATCAGGGCCAGGGCTGTGGGGATGGGGGGCCTCCCCACCGTGGGAGCATCCCCTTCCTCACTGCCTCCTGCGGTCGCCCCCAGGGCAGCGTGGGCCACTACTGCCAGGACCAGCTGAACAACCCCATCACCTTCGCCGGCATCAACAACTATGTGCGGGTGCCAGGGATCCCACGGAGGAACCGCCTGGCTGTCAGCTTCCGCTTCCGCTCCTGGGACACCGCCGGGCTGCTGCTCTACACCAGCTTCGCCGACCGCCTGGGCTCCCTCGAGGTGGTGTTGAGCGAGGGGCAGGTCAATGTCTCCATTGCCCAGCCCGGCAAGAAGAAGCTGGAGTTTGCTGCAGGTGGGCTGGGGAGCCGGCGCGGGGCCGGAGGCCGGTCTGGCAGCACTGCCTCCCCATGCACCCTCCTCTCCCCGCACAGGGCATCGCCTGAACGACGGCTTCTGGCACTCGGTGCAGCTGGTGGCACGGGACGGCTCGGCCGTGGTGACCATCGACGATGACGATGGCGCCGAGTTTCGGGTGGCACACCCCTTCCAGCTCCGCA